AAAAGCCCATACCCTGAAATGACTTTGTGGGAGCATAATGGAGACCTATTCATTAGGACCATGAAATAAAATGGAAATCTGTTTTCTTTGCAGAGCAATGTGATTACCATCACCAGTAATGATATTATGGAAGGAAAACATACTGTCAGTTAGGACACAGGTTTTCCTCTTTGCCTTGGCCTTCTTTCTTCCTTTGAAATGATCATGGTAAGTAAGACCTGGATAACTTCGGTTCATCCCAAACATTCCACCCTGGTGCCCCGATGTGGTACTTCCCAAACAAAAAGATTCAGAATTCTCTATGTGCAGTCACTTCTTTCCACCAATGCTAACAGCTTTTTGGTTTTTACTTTTTGAAACCCCTTGGGTTATATTTACAGTATGAAGATTAAAAGACCAGTGCAACATTATTCTTATAGAAGGACTGATTTAAATTGGAAATGGAACTAGGTATTGAGCAGTTACAAAGGCTAAAAGCTAGAAATAAGGTCTTAGGAAAAGGCATAGGTATTTGATATTTTTGTAATATAAAAGCAGGATTTGGAGGAAGGATTATAGAGCAGGAGTGAGGAAGAGAAGAAAGAATGAGGTGATAGATGGCAAACCCAAAAGAAGCTTGTATTTTGCTTCATTTTAATCAGGGATTAGATATATTTGTGAACACTGAAATTATAATGAGGCAGGATGGAATTGAACAGAATAGAAGCTGAGATTTGAAAATTTTAATGTTTTTTCCTAATAGAAATGTGACAGCTGATGAGGGATGAAGAGGAGGACCTGAGCAATTAAAAGAAGGGCTTTAGATCTCCTGGCTGAGACTCAGGGAGAAACCATGCAAAGGAGACCATGATGAAAAGGACACAGAAGGGTCCATCGTCAGGACAGTGAACTCAGAGGGGACAATCTCATTACATCAGGCACTGGGAAGGCATGGGGGACAGAGAATGCAGATCGTTGGCCAGAGCACAGATGTGTCTGCTTTCGATTTTCTCTGGAGTCTTAAGTGTGTATATTTACAAAATATGTAACTTTCAACAAAATATTTAGCATTCATTCTCTCATCACATCCCAGTAGCATTCTTCTGAAGCAATTAGGAGAAATATCCTGACTCTCATTTTACAGGCAGTAAAAACTGAGGCATATAGATAAGATATTCCAGCTCACATCGAAGGGAAGAACTAGGAGTAAATTACAAGTCCACTGATTTCAAGTCCACCTGTCTTCCTGCAATGCTTTTTCTGTGGGAGTTGCATGCCCTCCCCCATCCTTTTCCTGGACCCAGGCAGAGGGAAGAGATCTGTGGTCCATATCAAAATATCCAACTTTCTAAAAAATTAGATTGTCACCTTTAAAATCTAAAGTTGCCAGATAAAGAAAACAGTAAACTTCCTCTATCTTCACACAAAGGACAGAACCAAGAGGAGAGAGTGAAAGCTACAGGGAGGCAAATTTCCATTCATCATAAAAAACAAAGAAAGATTTTTAATACTTAAACTTTCCAAAAATAGAGTAGTTCCTTTACTAACAATGAGTTCTCTGTTATAAGAAATATTCAGGTAAAGATAGTATACCATCTGTGAGGGGCATCATAGACAGATTTTGACCTTGTTTAAAAGTTGGACTTCATGGCATCTAAAGTTTCTTCCAAAGATTCTAGGGCTCTTTGGTTTTGTTTTTCATAGTCTTAGACTCATACTGTCTTCCATCTGACATCCACTAGAACAGAGAGATCATCTGCTGAGTCAGAGGAAAACAGGAAGAGAAAAAACAGTAATAACAATAAGGCTGATAATCCATCCCTCTCCCTTTCAAATGTAAAGACTCAAAATAGGAGTATTTTTCTGGCAACTGGAAACATTTTCTCTTGTTCTTTGACAAATTTCCTGTAGGTCAGATAGATTTAATCTGCCTGTTCTCTATGGATGGATAGCTCCACAGTACATGGAAATTCTGATAGAGATGTTTATATTTCTGACTGTTTGAGACACAGCTTTTTAATATCCAGGAAATTTGTAAAAATTTCATTGGTATTACTTGAAAATAGTAGTGATGACAGCATCCCATGTGCTTGATTCTCTCCTGAATCAAAGCATGTGAAATAGGAAATTTTAGTAGCTAGTTGAACAGTCCTTAAAAACCCAAAACTTCAGATAATATTTGAGCTATAATCAGTGGATTTTATTGAGTCTTCACTACATTTCACTCTCCGTAAAGTTTCACTAGAGTTAGACCTACTGGACTCAATTTAGGTTCATTATCAACAAGTTATGGCCAATGGATCTAATTTCTTTATTTAAAAGGATGATTAAATCAGATAGCCTTAGCTGCAAGAAGCATAGCAAACACAAACATGGTATGCATGGACTTTAGCAAGGGCTTTAATGAAGTCAGTCACCAGGATGTTAACAAAAGCCTGGAATATTGGACAGAAAGCAAGAATATGTTAGGCAGAGGATCACAATTTTAAAATATCCAGACCCAAATGTTACTAAGCAATATTAGTTAGAAGGCCTTCTTCCCCTTAGTTCTGGCATTAGTTTCTTCAAATCATTTTCTAAGTCTAAGACAGTCACTCGTCACATCTTCAGATAGCACAAAGCTCAAGATGGATGATAAGCATGCTCAATATTAGAATCAAACTCCAAAATGGTTTTTAGACTGGACCAAGAAATTGGGCTTTATAAGATGAATTAATACGTGTGCATTTAGGACTGGAAAAGCAACCAAGCCTGAAAAAATGAGGTGATGATATGATCTAGTCCAGCGGCAGCATGACGCATGATGAGGACGTAAGGATTTTAATTGACAATAAACTGAGTTGGAGTAAACACAGTAATGGGACCACCCCCCGCCCCAAATGAGACTGTGTGTGGTATTGTGTTTATAATAAGAAGTATACATATCAGAGCTCCTGAACCCTTGTACATTCCTAAGTAATAAGAGCACAAGGAGCATCTTCTGTTCTGAGTGACTCTAGGTGGGCTCTTGGAAGACTCCTGTAGGACCAAGCCATGGTTAAAGGTTTAGAATTTTTAGCCCTACCCAACATTGTCCAGAGAAGGGAGAGGGTCTGGAAATGGAGTTAATGATCGATTGCACCTGTATAGGAAGCTTCCGTAAAATTCCTAAAGCACAGGGAGAGAGGAGCTTCCAAGTTGGGGAACACGTCTAGACACTGGGAGAATGACACACCAGTTCCAGGGAGACAGATGCTCCCGTGCTCCGGACCCTCCCAGACCTTGCCCTGTGTATGTATCTCTTCATCTGGCTGTCCATCTACAGCCTTTATCATATCCTTTAATAAACTGCTAAACATTAACAAGTATTTCTGAGTTCTATGAGCAATTTTAACAAATGATTAGATCCAAGGGGAAGGAAGGAGTTCATAGGAACCTCTAATTTGTAACCAAGTCAGACAGAAGTTGTGGGTAAACTGGGAACCTACTATTTGTGATTGGCATCTGAAGCAGGGGACAGTCTCATGCAACTGAGCCCTTAACCTATGTGATCTGACACTAATCTCCTGATAGATAGTGTCAGAATTGAGTTCAGTTGTAAGGATACCCAGCTGGTGTCTCAGAATTGCTTGGTGGGGGGAAAAAAAAAAAACACATATCTAGGGTCAGAAGTGTTGTGATTATGGTCATAGTATGAGAGCAAAAGAGAAACACAGGAGAACTGAGGTTTTCAGTTAAAGATGGTAATCACAGAAGCAAACCATCGAGAATAAAGAAATCATGAGGCTGCATTTCCATGTTCAGACAATTCCTAGAGGGTTGCATTTTTGCTTTAGATTTTTCAATTTTTAAAACTGCTTTTTTAAAAGGGAACTCAGGAAGAAAAACAGTGAGGATAAGCCTTAAGCCCCAACTGACTGAAGAAACATTGAAGGGCATGGGACGTTTTAACCCAAAGAGAATATGATTACCATCTTCAAATGGCCTGGATATATTAACACAGATATTAAATTTGTACAATAAGGCTTCAAAGAGTGGAACTGCTAGAATTATTGAAAGGCAGATAAAACAGAGAGATTTTAGTTAATTTAAAGGCCAAAAGTATGCAAAGATTTAATAGATTGCCCACTGCAAGTTTTCAATCACTGACCGATGCCCAAGTGAGGTTGCTGTAAAATCTATGCAGCCAATGACATTTGGACTGTGTAAACAAACACAACAAAGCCACAACAGAACAAACTCTTCTCACGCCGGAAGTGTACTATTCTAAGATAGATAAGTGAATGCCAGAAGACTAATGCTCAATTTCCTCCCTTTCCAATTTACCAAAATCATTTATTCTCTCTCTACCTCTATTTTCGTGCCTGTGAAATGAGGGTAATTCCTTTTGCCATCTCAGGCCAGATGGGAAAGTCTGTAATGAGTTTGGAGCCTAGAGTATTTTCACTATAAATTCTCCATGTGTTTGATACTGTTTTTCAGAAGGAAATTCAAAGTTTTCTACTTGAATGGAATTGGGTTCAAAGTTTGGGAGGGTGCTCTCAAATTACTTTTTTTTTTTTTTTCCTCTTCTGAAAATAAAAGTGGGATGTGATTTGGACCAATCGGTTTCCTTAATGGTGTAAATAGCAATACTGCTGCCGGATGTTCCCAAGGCTTTACATGAATTGTGTTCAGCTAACCCAGGAACTCCCAGGTTTTACTTAAATACATTGGCCTGCTACCAGCTCATCCATCATTCCAGGCTCTAAACAAACAAAGGCCAACCTGCCAAGGCAGAGCTGAATAGGAGGCCACAACTTGGGGATTAAGACCAATTCCAAATTACACTTTCAATACTGTTCAAATATTACCTCCGCTTTTAACAATATTTTTTCTTGGATGTAATATTTCTTTTCTCAGACCCTTTCATGTCTCAGACCCATTTGCCCAGAAACAGCACAAGTCAATTATTGAAAAAAAAAAAAAAACTCTGAAAAGAAATGGATGATAGCACAGGGAATTCTTCCATGACTTAAACATAAGAGGGAAGGAGACACAATGGAAAATAGCAAGTCAAAGGCGACCTCCACGAAATGCTGAGATTTTTCCATTTTGAAATACCTAGCTTCTGAATTAAACACCCCTCAGTGTTGCTATAATGGCTGCAAATGACAGAAAGCTTTTATTTTTGACATCCTCCTTTCTTTTGCTGATAAGGTGAGTTTTCTCCAGTTTCTTTTTCTTTTTTTGTTTGCTTAAATCAGAAAATAAATAAATAAATAAAACAATTCTGCTAGCATAGAGAAAAATGCAAATATTAGGCTATTTGGTGAGGGCCTCTGAAAATGTTCAACTTTTTTAGCAAATAGTGATAGAGGATAAATTGCATTAATTTTGTAAAGTATGACAAGGGCTCTGAAAAGGAGAATAATCTTAATGCATAATCATGTGGGTAGGTTGTCAGAATACAATGAAAATAAATACCATTCTTTCTCAAAGATATACAAATTATGCATCTGAGCACAAGTTCCTAAATAGCCCCTAATACTCTGTCAAGAGAGATAACTTACAGCAGACACTTGTTGTTTAATGAGGATTTATAATTGCAGTTGAATGATATCATTGATTGGGGATATAAGCATCAGCTATTTTCTCAGCATTAGATTTTCTTATTGCTTCCCCCACACTCTTCCTACTTATTTTAATGTGAATAGAGACATAGCTGATACTCTCAGTACCTCATCTCTAAGAACCTAAGGTCTACAAAAGGATCTCTCAGTGTTTCCTGGTTCAGCTACAGCACAGTCCACGTACAGAACTAAAGTTATAAAGACCTCAGCAGGACTCAAGAATGTCATCAGGTAACAACTCTCATGCACAAGAGGAGAAACGAGACCTTTAAATTCACTCATAATGACAAGAAACATTATTGTTAGATCTTCAAATTTTACAAAAGGAAACATCAAGTCATGGCATTCTAGAGTCATTTGCACACCATTATCCAGATAGAAATAAAATGTCCAAACATCAAAAATGTTGAGCTATTCAGTATTACATAGATCAAACCTGGGTTTCTTTTTTAACTAATTTTATTTTGCTTTACTATAGCTAGTTTCAGTTGTGGACTACAGGGAAAATGTATAAAACCCCAAGTGGACATTTGGCAACTGTCACAGTCTGTTCAGGCTGTTAGAAGAAAATACCATAGATTAGATACCTCATAAAACAACAAAAATACAGTTCTGGAGGCTGTGAAGTGCAAGATCAAGACGCAGGCAGATTTTGATGAGGCAGTGTCTGATGAGGGCCGGCTTTTTGGTGTGTCCCCATGGGGCAGAGAGCCTCATGATCTAAGCACTTTCTAAAGGCCCCATCTGTAAATACCTTCACTCTGGGATTAAGTTTTTAACATATTTTGGTAGGGTTGGAGGGGTGGGATGGGATACTAGCATTCTGTCAAATGGCAGCACCTATTTGATCTAGGTATTTGATTCATGTAGATCAATTAAAATGGGATGTGATCAGAGGTTGGCCAACTTCTTCTGTAAAGGATCAGAGAGCAAATATATGTCTTTTGAAAGCTACAAAGTCTCTGCATCTCTGTGGCAACTAATCAGCTCTGCCACTGAAAACAGCCGCAGGTTCTATGTGGAGGAGATGGGCTTGGTTCCAATAAACCTGAATTTGCCGAAACAGGTGATGGTCCAAAGTTAGCCTACTGGCTGTATTTTGTTGATCCCTAATGTAGATAATCAAAGTAGCTGAATCAAATATTTAGAATTGTATAGAACCTGAGCGAGTCATAGGTTCAGGCAGTTGTAGAGGCATATATCACCTCCAGTTTTGTACATAATACAACGAATTTCAAAATGATTAAAAGATTTTCCTCCAGCCATACAGTGTAAACAGTTTTCCTATTCGTTTGAACAATGATAAATTTTTCTAAGTGCACAAAATGGAATATCCTGATCACCAACAAATCCCCAAATACTAATCTAAAAATAGATCAAAGCAAAGAGGATTTAGTCTTAACAGTTTTGAGTTGGTCCAACTAAGGCCAAAGATTGCTACTTTTGAACTAAACCATCACAATTAAATTCCTTGTTATCTATTCAAATAAATTTTGCACTATAGAAACTCAACTTAGAGATTTATCCCTATCAATATGGTTTGTGTAATAAAAAGAGAGAAATTGCAAAAGCAGTCAAAAAGCATTTGTTGAATAATGAGCCTGTTGCCATAGGGCAAGTATTAAGACCTAAGAGTCATGGAAGCTGTGATCCCTGAAAAAGTTTACATTCAACTTTAGATTGTGGTTCATCTCAACACACATTTATTAAGCAGTTATTATGTGCCAGGCAAAAATACATATGGCACTGTCCATTGTGAAGAAGCTCACAGACCAGTGGGACCATGAAGAAGAGCATGTCAATATTTGCACCTCTCTGCATGTTTCCCTTCTAGTCTGTAGCACAAAACATGCTCATTGTCATACTGTTTTTTTGCCCATGCTTTTCTCTTTTTCTGTAGAGCAGTTTCTCTCACTAATGCTGCATTATATGTAAGTGCATGGGGAAGGAGCACAGGCAATTTTTAGGTAAGATTCTTAGAGAACTTGAAAAATGAGTTGAGATTATTATTCAGGCAAAGATGGGAGACATCGCACCACCAAAACAGGAAAGCGCATGCCTGAGGATGGTGTCATGAAACAGCCTAGATGCACTATAAACTACCATCATAATAGGCAAGAAAGGGAACTACGAAAGATGGGGAGGGAGAGTTGCGGGGCCAGGTCACAGAGGGCCTAATGTACCCATGCATAATTATCAAGTGGCCATTTGTACAGTTCAAGTTTTTAAAATCTGTGGCAATTTGATGTACACCTTACATCTACCAGGTACCAATGCCATTCAATACCCACTTGAAGATTCTGGTGTGCCTCCTATGCTTGGAGAATGCAAAAGAGAAGTTTGACAGAAATAAGAAGAAAAAAGCTAAAGATTCTTACCCAAGTTGTTAGCCATTAGTGATTTGGTGTTTGATATGAAGCCCTAGTTCTCTTTCTCCCCTAAATTCTTTCATAAAATTTATATTACTGCTAATGCTTTCTAAAGTTAGATTTGTTTTCTAAAGATTTCACAAATGCAGAGTTTGTCCTCAAGGCTGATGCCAGCTCAAGAGCAGAGGTTCTCAGTGGATGCCAGTCATATATATATATNATAGTTAGAAAGATGAATTCTACCTAGGGAGACAAATACAAACAAATAATGATCAGAGCACTGATTTGTAAAACAAAACAAACAAACAAACAAACAAAAACCAGAGAGGCGTATACCAGTGATACAGAAGTACTGAGGAGGGAATGATTAATTTTACTTAGGGAGGTCTCAAGAAGGCTTACCAGAAGAGATGATATTCAAGCTGACCTTTGAAACATAATTGAGGGTTGCCAAAAAGACGTGAGTTGGGAAAGTCATTTGAGAGAAAGAAAAACCACAAATGCTTGGAGGAAACAGTGTGTTTTAGAAGACTGTATATAGATTTGTGTGCTTGAAACTCAGGTTGTGTGAGGTTGATGAGACAGTTGCCAAATCATGACATCATGAACAGCAGGTATGTGAGCAAAAATTGTTGAATGGAAGTCCAGTAAGAAGAAATAGGATCAATGGGATCAATATATATGACTTGATCTAAGCACTGAAGAATGGTAACATTACCATAAGCCAATCAATGAAGAGTCCCAATCATGTTTTTTATCACTTGTATATCCTCTTCGGTATTTAGTAAATGGTGAGAATAAGATGGGTGTACACATGTAATTTGATGTATTGATTGACTAATGGCCATAAATACCACTAGAACCTGTCTTCAAAGGCCCTCCAACTACCTAACCACAAGATTTTTAGATGAAAATATATTCTAAATAGTCATCAGTATGAAAGATTGCTCACAGATGCTTCAAAGATTTAGGAGGATCTTATAAGATACATATATACATGTACATACACACACAGCTGACCTTGAACAACATGGGTTTGGACTGTGTGGGTCCACTTATGAGTGATCTTTTTCAGTGAACATATTGGAAATTTTTTGGAGATTTTTAACAATTTGAAAAACATTCTCTATTCTCTAGCTTTATTATAAAAATACAGTATATAATACATATAACATACAAAACATATTTTATCAACTACTTATACTATTGGTGAGTGTTCCCATTAATATTAGGCTACTAGTAGGTAAATTTGGGGGAGTCAAAAGTTATACATAGGTTTTTGACTATACAGGGGTCAACATCCCTAACCCCCACATTGTTAAAGGATCAACTATATAGTCAGTGTTCAGAGGCCTGCCTTCTAGAACTCTGGGTCACGTATTCTACCCAACTCCTTGCTTATATTTTAAGATACAACAATGCCTAAATCATGCAGCTCACTCCTTCCATAGTCATTAAAAATTTATTTTTAAAATATCCATTGAGTACCTACTCTATAACAGATAAAGATGATGCTGTACTCTGTTTATTGGTATATAAAGATTACATAAAATAATGATAAAAACCTGAATATAAAACACGTCAAATATGATTATATTTTTTGGTTTTATCATATATGTATATTATATATGTGCATGTGTTCACAGACACACATAAGCCAAACTCTGATTCCATTTAGGAGAACTTTGTATCTATTGTGTTTCTCATGCTATATAGCTCAAAATCATTTATTAAAATCAACAGGAAAATTCAAAATGATTGAGCATTAGCTTTCTTTTTATGCTCTCCAAACACGAGAAACAGTGCATTAATCTCAAAACCTTGGCAACATTAGAAACAACAGATTCTAATCAATTTTTAATGTGAAATACCCCCACGCTCAGAACACATCAGACATGTTTTTCTTAAAGGGACAGATAGGCCAATAATTTCCTCCATGCAATGAAATTGGTCCACTTTCTCAAAGAGTTTAGGGCCAGACTACCAGCCTCTGTACTGAAATCGCAGAATTTTGTCTTCAAGAGGAAATAAATCTCTGTCCTGCTGGCTGCTGTTATCCCAGTTTCAAATCCCATTTCAGTTTATCCATTTTAATCGAAATATTTATGTTGTTTATCTTTGCCAAGAAGGTTTGTAATCCCCCTCATTAAGATTTTGAATAGATATTGCAAGTCTTAGAGCAAGAGCCACTAAGAAGCAATTTAAAATAACAACCATGTCAGCCTTATAGGTTGTGTTGGACTGGAGGAAAGAGATAAGAACATAATATTAATAAACAAGAAAATTTCAACTCCCAACTGCTTCACCATTATTTTAATCCATGGGTTTAACATCTTTTTGTACAAAAACTGTATTAAAGATCTTTAATATAGAACAAGGTTATATGATGGATAATGTTTAAGAAAATATCAAACATATTTTAAATGTTTATAGCTTTCATGTCCATTGTGGTCCAGATTAACACAATATCTAAGCCATTTCCCAATAATATTAGCATCAAGTTTATAGTTGTTGTCTGTTACACTCTGAGGAAAGTGTGGAATTAGAGGGCCAGAAGCAGTAAATAGGATGGAGAAGTAGAATCCACAGGAACCATCACAAGGTACGTCACCTGGGGGTAAATTCTTTTTATAGGAGAAAAAGTGGGACATTTCTTGGAGGATTTTGGAAGACTCTGAAGAATCTTTTAAATCAGTACTGTCATTTAATTCAGTAAGATGCCCTAATAGTAAATTCCATGTCAGTATATTAACTAATCTGTAGTTGACCTGAAAGGGTTAATGCTATCTGAAATGGTGCTGATAGTTTGGGGATATGGGGTTCAAATTAACAACACATTCAATTTTACTTTCTAAAATTATATTGTTTTAACCTTCTCCTTATATATATAGGTAGATTTCAACTCCTGTTTTCCACTATTGCAACCCAAGCTTTACCTATCTATCTATGGATCAATTGATAGGTAGATAGGTAGGTAGACAGATAGATACAGCTTTACTTTGTCTGACCCTACAGACCTCAGACCTTTATTTCAATCCAGCTTTTTAAGTAAGAATGTGTGAGATTAATCACATACTTGACCATATCAAGACCTGATATAAATATACCTTTTGTCACAGTTCTACTTACTCTTACCACCAGGCTCTCTATTCACAGACTTGTCATTTATTTGTGGGTCTTTTATCCACACTTAGCTTTTCTCAATTTTACAAAATGTACAAACTTAAGTAAAGTCAGTATCATTAAAGAAAAAGGTTAGGAGATGTGTTTTTAGATTAAAAGGTAAGACATTGGGAGATCGGCATCCAAAAGAGTCAGAGAGAATAAGCGTAGGGAACAAGCGCTGGAGCCACCTCAGGAAGAAAACACTGTTTCCTCTAAAGTGATGACGTGACCCAAAGGCACTTGGTGACCAGGGCATGCTGATTCATACGCATGTTCGCACTTGAGTACTGGCCCAGCTTTGCTAGGCAGCTTTACCTAAGTAAAAAGTAAAGGCCTGGTATGCTTTCCACCACTGCTCTCATTTATACGTGCAAAGCTAGTGCATTTTCAAGAGCTCACATTTTCTCTCACACTCACAGCCTGTCCTTTAAGGGTACCACTGCCAGTGGGGTGGCACCTCTCCTGTAACAGTGACAATAACAATGGCCTAAATGATAACAGACATATGGTTGTGGACTTCTGAAGGAGATTATAAATGATCTAATCCAATGCTTTCCAAACATCATTTCTCTTTAACTGCAGAATCCTTTCAACAAAGAGAAGTTTACTCAGAATACTAATTAAATCAGGTAAATGTGGAGCCACTCTGGTGAGCCGAGAGACCAGTGTCTTCCCCCAGGATGGCCCTGAGCCGGGGTGCACATGGAGGACAGTGTGAACCTCACAGGAGCATTGCCCCTGCCTCACAGTGGCAGTTCGCTGAATGGCCATCGTGTCCTCTTGTTTTATTTAACAGATGAAGGAAACAAGATCCTTGGAAATAAACCAACTTCTCTGAGACCAGAGATGGTGACAGAGCTGTCAATCTATTTTTTTCAAAATATGAAAACTGCATTTTCACAGTAATTTCTAATTTTTCTGAGCACTTCTAAGTTGATTGGACTATATTTCATTTGATTGTCACAGTAACCTTGTAGCCCAAGCAAGGTTGATTTTTTTCTCATCCCAGTTTACACATGAAAAACTGAGGCTCAGAGAGGTAAAGATTTGTCCCAAGTGAACTTTTGTAATGGGTGATGGTGGGGTTAAAATGTCGGTCCTCTGACCACTACTCAGTGGTTTGCCCCTTGTGCAATGCCCTCATGATTCACATAGAAAAGTTATTCATAAATATCAAATAACTAAAGCCAAAGAGGCTACCACATGCTTTTCAACTAACTTACGCCTTTAAGATAAAAACAGGAGTAATTACTATTAAGAATTAGGCATTAATATTAAGGTATACTAGGATTAAATAATATATAACATTGTAAAGTGGTAAATGGGGTGTCTCAGCAAATCTCAATCAATTACAGCTTAGTTCAAAACAAATAGCTTTCTCATTTATCTCGAATCTGTTTTTGTCTTATATGGAACTTTTTTAAACATCTAAAACCCTTAACACTTCCTAAAGTGTCAAGTTCCCACAGTTTTTCACTGCTTCTGGTTTCCATCTGCCTGAACGAAAGGCAGAAAACAAACCACTGAGTTAGCCATCATCAATCCACGACGCTACAAAGGGCCCGGTCAGCAGAACTGGTGACGGGAAAGCCCCGATTTCCCTGAGGCCCGTTCCGTTCTCCAGTTCCCCTGCTTCTGCCTCTCTGCTCTCCTCTACTTTGATATGGAACCTTGAGCGTGGCTCCCTGTGCTCTACAAGTTGAAATCCAACTGGCTCTCTTCACAATGGTGGTGCAATCCACTTCACTTTCTCCATCGTTTAGAATCTGAAATCATTCTCCTTGGGGTGCAGCTCATATTTCAGAGATTTAAACTTTTTCTTTCACAGAGCTTGACAGAAACCACAAGGGAGAAAAGATTATGGCCACACCATATGTCTGTTTCTCCATGACTGTGTGTGTGTGTGTGTGTGTGTGTGTGTGTGTGTTCATGCGCACATATGTGTGTGTTTTCCAATGAGAGGGGAGTATATTTTCTCTTTTCAAGGAGAAAGGTTTTCCCCTCCCCTTAGGTTTCTAGCTGCTGGATGCTTGATTAATTTAAATCTACACATAACTGGTTCTTTTATTAATGATTCTGCCAGGTTTCCAGAACAGAGCAGGATTAACCTGCTCTGAATACAGATTGTTCTTTCTTAAAGGGGCCATTACCTTTTAATAAGAACACGAGAAGACATAGCATGGTGATACCATTGTTTGTTTATGGGGAACACCATGGTTTGTCTCCAAAAACTTTGAAATACAGTTGCCCACTGAAAGCTAAAGGGGCAAAACCCCCAAACTATGGCAATGATCAGCCATCTATGGGAACAAACTAAGATATTTCCCAAACATGTGGCAGTGAATTGGGAATGTCCGTAACTCTTGACTAAGGTGACTGGGGAGAAACTTCAGGAGGTGAAAGGAAGTTGAAATGGGACTGTAAATTAATTTAGCACAAATCTAGCAATCCCATTCCATTCATATGAACAGCAGGAGGTTTGTAAGTATAACCACAATTAAAAGGAGATAACAGAGACAGACACTGATGGTGGTCATCCAAGCACAGCTGGAGAGAGAGGAAGAGCTAGACCAGACCCACCTCATGCTAGGTAAGAAGACCCAATGCCTCCTGCCACCATCAAACTCATTCTGGATATAATTCCAGACTCACTACCACTTTGAAGAAGATGATAAGTGGGTCAGGCTGAAATACATGAGTATCACCCTGGATCTTGTGATTGGGTACGTGTAGGTGTACTCAAATCCAGTTCATGCAAGTCAGCATCAGACCTCCTCTCAGTGGACTCCTTGTTCAAAAGGTTGAGGCCTGCAGAGTGGAGGAGCAGAGCCTGGACCCAGCAAATTCTCTAAGATAAAAGTCACCTGTGTGCATCTGACCACAAGGCTAGCTGCCCTTCTGTACACAAGACAAGTTTGCTTTTTTATATTATATGCCTTTTGTGAACCACCACAAAGGCGAAACTCCTTCTACATATTCAGCTCCAGAATTGTGGACAGAATGAAATGGGAGTAGGTGCTTAATAATTCTTTGTTTGTTTTTTATACAGGCTCTCCTCTATGACACCTTTATGACTTGAGGGCCTCAAAAAGCATTCCATTTCATTGATATCCTAGTTTCTGAGACTTCACATAAATGGCATTTGGATGATACACATTATGACAAGAAAAATGTTCCAGCTTTTCTTAAGTTCACTGACAGCCACAAATAAAATTGCAAATCTACAAGACGCCGCAGAGACACAGTCCAGATCACCATCTTTAAACTTTATACAAGGTGAGCTAGTTCTCTCACGAAGATGGAATGAGATGGTTTCCAGCTTCAAGGATCTTACAGTATGTGGCAGGGGAATAGATACAGGGATAACCAATGACTCTTTGACCTCCCTGGTCTCTACAGGATGACTTAGGCTGTGATTTGACTGTTCTGGGTATTGCAAAGAGGTTGTGGGTTACATTTTTCTAAAGGGAGAGTAAATGACATCAGTATTTATAGCATATGCATGTGTATGCAGACTAATGTGATAAGTAAACTTTCCAGATATTGAAAGAGAGAGAGGTAAGGCAAGAAAGGGAGTTTAATACTTTGTTTTTAAGGAAGAGAAAAGATAAAGGATTAAATATTTCCCTTTGGTTGCTAGGTGTTCTCTTTGTTGCTCTCCTGGAACTTAAAACACCCACCAAAGAAACTGCAGACTAAAATGCTACCCTGATAGCAGCTTGGGGAGCTGTCCACCTCTCTCTGTTCCCACCAAACAGCATACAGTCCCCAGGGCTGAGATTTCCTCTAAATCCAGGAATTAGCCATGTGTCTCCATGGCAAGCCTGAAGTTCAATTCCAGGAATCAGAGTTGGCCTTCCTCCTAGTGCATTTAAAAGCCTCTCATAAGAACGATAGCCTGTCAGCGAGACAGACTCAAAGACCAGCATGAACATGGCATCTTCCAGCAAAGCAAAATTGTCCAGGAAAAGACATTTTGCATTTTGTAAGAAAGCTAAAGATTTAATAAAGTAGGAGAAGACTGAGGGGGGAAAACAAAGGTCAGAAATACAAAATAACATTTAAGGCCTTACATTTTCACAAAACACATGTTTAAGTAAAATTGAAAGGCCTGGAAGCAGGGATGCACGGTTCTAACACCGGGTTTCAATGTCCAGTTTTTTCAGCATCAAGCTTTTGAATGACCTCTGATCATATGAATAACAAAAAAAAATTAAGCCAAATGACAGATTTCACTTAATATTTGGCTGAGCAAAGCAACTGACCCCTCTAAAAGTACCTTTTGAAATAAGAAACTAACTTTCCAGGAATCTGTGTGTCCTAGAAATACTACTGGACTTTATGCTCCCCTGTTTTGGCTACCTTAAGAAAATTAAATTTCTAAAATGTTTCCACCAGAGGGCAGTAAATAACAAACAAACAAACAAACAACCTGTTTACTGAACACAACTGCTTCTGAAACTGGATATAAACAAATTTTATTTTCCCATTAACCTGCATTATAGGCTCAGAGACTTTTCAGTGCTGAAAATGTTTATTTGATCCCTCCTCCTGGACTTCTCTTTAATGTTCTCATTCTCTGTCACTAAAAGCATGGCCTATAAACAATCCCAGAATGAAACAGGGGAGGCAGCTTTTATAAAACGAAAAACCTTCCTTCACCTATTCTGTCCATTCACCCAGGGCCTGCCTGGGTCTGAAATTCCAACACTGCTGATGAAGGGCCTGGGTGGCCACCAGCAACTGTATTTCACTGTTGTAAGGACAGACACTGGCAAGAAGCCACAGGAGCACTCTAACGAGAGCTGTGAATACTAAGCAGAAATCCTGCAAGTAAAGGAAGAACAGGGATGCCATCCAGTGGTCAGCCAGTGGCCCTGCTGCCTATGCGATCCTCAGCATGGCCTCCATGGAAAGCACTAGAATGCAGTTTGTAGGCTCTGAATCGAAAGATAACTGGGGCCAAAAGGAATCATTGTTCCAATCTGAGCAAATCTCAACTGCACAGCTTACTTTTCTGAATTGCAAAATGAGAATAAAGGTAGTATAGTTGAGCCAGGGACCTGGAAGCTAACTGGAAAAGCCACCTGGCTGAGGGGCTCTCAAGGGCAGCTGCTTCTCAGAACCACCTGGCAGCTTTATAAAACACTGATCCCTGGAACCACCAAGACCTTCTGCATCACAACCTCCAGGGATAAGGCTTGAGAAATGGTATTTCTAAAAATATTTCTGGGAGATTCTAATACAGAGAGCCTCACCCAGTCGAAAGACTGGCTTGGAACCCAGTGATTTAATCCATTCTTCCATCTCTAGTCAGGGTTGTGCTTCAACCATCCCAGGTCTACAAGTCTTCTCTGACTCTAAAACCTTTAAACAGCTATTATAGTCATCCATTACACTGTCCAAAATCCCAAATTTTCAGGGAATGCTCCTTTCCAGTCTGAGTCCATGCTCTACTGCTTATTACCTACATAACCTAGCCTTTGAACATGTCAGTTTCACTTGAATGAATGGGGCTGTGATAGTACTTAGCCGGTAGATTTGTTGGGGAAAGTAAATTGCTTAGATAGTGGCTATCACTTAGGAAGCATTAAAATGCTTGTTATTGTTATCATTATTATTACTCCTCTGGCTGCTCATTTGGCTTGCTTATCTGTTTGCTGGGTCCCAACAGAAATAGGGATCATGCTGAGCCTAGCACTTGATATCTAGCCAGCTCTCTTACCTGTCTGCCCCAACTTGCCCCAGGCCTATACAGTCCTTGTTGTTACTGACAGATTTATCTAAAGGCCCAGTCAACCCATTCTCTGAACTAAAACTGATCACAGCAGGAGCTTCAGTGTCCCATTGGCAGATATATGGCATGATAGAAACATTTCTTGGGGACCAACTATATGCCTAGTGTTAAACAACGCACATTGTATATATTATCTCATTTAATTTTCCCAACACTCCCCCAAGGTAGGCATTAAGTTCTCTAATTTACAGAGGAGGAAATTGAGTCTTAAAGAGGCAAAGGCATAAGTGACATACTTCCCTGGGTGTCTCCAAAGGCTGTGATAAACTCTGGGCACACCTAGATAGTCTCTGATTCTAACTGCTGCTGATGACCCAGTTTGTGTATCCAGGGGTTCTATCCAGCACCCAGGTCCTCATTAGAATAGCTGATGAGCTTGCTTATCTGAGATGCCTTATCTAGTACCTGAAAGCCCCTCCCTAGAAAGCTGAAGCCTATATCCTACATGCCTTATCTTGGCATTTGCACGGCTCTCATAGACAATCTCCCAGGCCATGACAGGACAACTTGCCTGACCTCAAGGATCCTCACAGCTGAAGCCCCTCAAATGTGCAATAGCTAAGGGAAGCTAGCCCCCATTTCCAAGTCTCATAGACACCATGCCCAACTACCTGCTGCCCTTCCCACAAAGACCTGGCCTCCAATGGCTTCAATTTCCCCTGCAATCTGTTTTTTCCTGGTTCCAATTTTCTTATTTCCCACCACCTGAAGTTGCTGATTCCCTTGTGCTCCTCACAACTGAGCCTACTCTAGTCATGGCATTACCAGCATTCTGTGTGAAAAACTGTGTCCCCCGAAATACACGCAAACCCACCAGCATAGAGAATGAAAGACTATGAGTCAGGATGAGGGCAAATACAAAATATAATAAGCCTGGAAAACAATAAATCCTGTCACTATACTCTTAAAATGTATTTAAGCTCACTTACATTTGGCAAATAGTCATAACCATGTGTATGAACATAGGAAACAAGCTACTAGGCCAGGTGTCATGGGGGATAAGGGCAACCGAGAAATAATCCTTGCTTTTAAGGAAATACACTTGGAGATTAAAAGCACACAATTTAAAGTGTTAATAAAAACAACACACACAATATATGTGAAGGACCACATGAATGACATGTTCAGTGCAGGCCATAGGATTTGACAGGAGAAGAATCTGCCTTAGCCTGTAGGGATCATAGGCAGCTACTCAGAAGAAACAGAAATGATTTAACTGGAGAAGCTGTGGGATGGCCCACCAGGGTTCACCAGAGAAAGGACTAGAATGTATCCATTGGAGCTGGAGGCCAGGAATGCATGTGGAAGGTCAGGACTGGCCTCTGGACAAAGTTGAATGTGTGAGTGAGGAATCCGGAGCTAATCCCTATGATGGGGCATATAGGAGGCATTATATATGTTGACCTAGTTAATTAATTAAATTTCAATACCACTGCTGTGAGTAGGTTTGAGAAGGCATTATCTAGATGTCATAGATAAAAGTTCAGACTCAGAGATGATTTGTGATTTGTTCAAGAGCACAAGTTAATGGTTAATTTGCCAGTTTTCAGTTTTCAGATTAGAATCTAAGTACCTTGACTTTTTCAACTATACAACAGTATCATAGAGCTGTGGAAATAAAAATTGCTTTAAGCAAATCAAAATGGCTAAATTCACAGAATTCAGTAGGCTTCCCCTTTTTTGAAAAAAGAAAAAAAGAGCTACTGTGGGCTAAATATCATCCATGTCCTTTAGCTCTTTAGGACTGCTCGATACAAAAAATTCACTTATATTCTATGTAATATATCAAGCAAAGGAGTCAAATGAAGATAAATACACAGAGAAGTATGAACACGTGAGCGAAACCTCACTTTACAGAGACTCCTCACCAGTGTGCCAAATCTAGAGCACCCCTGTTTACAACAGACAGCTTTAGGAGGCTTTTTCTGACCCAGGAAAGGAATGTCTCTGCTGGCAAGACCTAAGACGACAAAAGTGAAAATTGCTAAGAAAACAAAGCAGCAATCACTCTCATATTACGTATCGAGGAAACACAGCAGCCAGCATTCCAAGGTGCCCATCAAGACAGAGGAGCGAGCCAGTGCCCGGAGAGAGGAGCAACTGTGGCCTTTTCCACTAAAGGGCTTAAAAAGTCTTCTCTAAACTGAACTTGTTCCCTCCCCAAGACACTTGGGGGTCTGTCTGTGGAAACTCTGTACACAGTAGGCTAGGAATAACCTCAGTTACCTTTTATTATCTGGTGCCCCGCTACACTAACCTAGTATCCAGAGATACTGCAGGAACTGATTTTCCCTAAGAAAAAATGGGAGGGGGCTTGGGAGGAAGAGTCATGGAAACAGAGACATTCAAATCTCAAATAAGAAGACTAGAGATGTAAGGAGCCTGTTGGTTTCAAAGATAGTTGCTCCAGATCAGTGGATCTCAGGCCTTAGCGCATTTCAGAATCTCCTGAAGGGCTTGTAAAAAATACATATTTTGG